GGCTCGCGGGCGCGTGAGCCGGCCTGCGTATGGAGCCGGGGGCACTCGCCTCCCGTGAGGGGAGATGGCGTGTGCCTTTCCCTGTGGTTAACCTGGACCTGGCGCTTCGACGTACGCGGAGATCTGCCTCTGCCCTGGTCTTCCTTGTAGTCCACTTGCAGTACTGCTCATCACCAGGTGTGTAGGTGTGCATATGTATTCCACAGCCCTGCCGAATCGGGTAGGGCTGCTACACCGCTCGTAGGAGAGCCGCCTTTAGCTGGTGCTTTGTAAGACCAGGACTTCCATACTGAAGCTTTCTCGCGGCTCCTTTCAGCTGAGCCCAGGCCATACCACTTAGCCCCAGGGACATCTGTAACTGCCCATTGAATGCAGGCTAATTAAAGAGATAAAGGATTTTTTTAATGGTCTCTTCAAGCTTTAAAGAGCCGAGTATCTCCAGCTTTTGACTATCACAAGAAGCCAAACGGTTGGATTTGGAATAAAAAGTCTTTTTGTGACATAAGGATATATATTTTTATAAGTTGTCAGGATTTTAGAGTCTCCAAGTTTGTTTCCCTGTCGTATTTTGTCTGAATTGGAATCACTTATAGAAACCTTTCTCTCCATATTCAGTAACCTTTCCAGGAAGGCTCTTCTGTCTCAGTTTATTACAAAGTCTGTTTTTATGTGACATATCTAAATGTAAAACTTAACATGTTTTTTAAACAAAAATATACTTTCCTGGGCCCATACTGTAGAATTGTTTCTAATGACGCTTGCAGAACCACCTGCCACATCTTCAGACAGGATTCTGAGTATTGTAGGACTGACAAAATTTAACTAACCTTATAACAATTTTGGTAATAGAATTGTTAGGGATCATTAAATCTTCTTTAACTTACAGTAAAAAAAAAAAAGAGTGCTAGTGCAATGGAAACCACACTGCTGTGTGCTTGCTCTTTCTGCCTCTGCATATCCCCTTCTTGTCTCATCTTAATCAAAAAAGCAGCCTTTAATGTCATAAACTCTTTATAGTAGGAACTGTTATTAATATAAGCTTATACAGAGCTTACTAAAATAGAATCTCATATAAAATGGGATTACTATTCCTGGTAATGTTAGCTCAGCTAAGCTAGGGTAAATATAAATGCACCTACCACTGTATATTTGTTCATGGTTTTCTAATCATTCCTTGTGAACAATATCTGTTTTCAACATAGGACATAGCAGATTTGGTCCTGGTATACATTTTTTCATACTTACAGATGGAATTGGACTTGTTTATGCTTCAGCTGAAATCAGCCATACAATCAGTCCACATTTGTGGTCCCTTATAGTAACAGGAAAAACACTGAGAAAAATGCAAATTCTGAATGCTCAATCAGGGTTTAAGACCACCTCTATTTTTGCAGTAGGTGTTGACTAACTTCAGAACTTGTTGCTAGCAACAGTAATAGTTGTTCTTACAAACTTACTCCAAATCCCATATATTGAGTCTAACTAAAAATTGTTTTTCCAAGTGTGGGCTGACTGAACAAAGATGTCAATAAAATATATGGTTTGAAAATTAAGTTACTGGGTGGGTTTGGTTTTCCTGGTTTAGGTATTCATAGCGTTCTTAATGCACAACTGCTCAGTATATGCTCTTAAATCCTTTTTTTTTTGAGAAAGTTACTCAAGCGAAGATCCTATAAGGAATTTAGGCACCTAAAAACTTCTTTCAGTGTTGAGTATTGTCCTTAATGACCTGAAGGGAGTAAGAGTTTAGTTAATAAAGATAATTTGGCTGATTTTTTTTTTCTAGCCAAATTAACACTTTCTAATTGGTTAGAATATTTAAAGTAGTTCATATTAGTTTGTAACAGCACCCTCTTTTAAGCTTCAGAAAGGCTTGTTCAATAGAGATTGGTTCCAGGTTGTGAATAGGGTGTAATTATTTTTATTTATGGTGATGACTGTTGTGAATTTTTTAATATAAAGGTGTTTTATGTTATGTGACGCTTGGGGAACAGGGTGGTTATGACCATGGGAAGTTAGATGTGACAACTGGGAAAGTGTCTGAAAGCTGGGTAATTGGGAATGGATAAATGATGTCCTCTGAGAACAGCAGTCAAAACTAGAAAAAGGAGAGCAAATGATAGAAGTTTATTAAAAAAAAAAAAAAAAGGTCAGTCAGAGAAGGGAAAAATCAAGGAAAATATTCATAGAAAATTGGATGTAATATCAGAAGAGGAAAAAGCCCCCAATGGAACCTGAGAGAAAATGAAGAGAGATGCAAGAGACTGAGATCCACTCAAAAGGTTAATTGAGCTTCATAGTGGGCGCTGATGGAAGATGGAGTATGTGAATTGCCATTTTTTTCTTAAAATGTGTATGTATGTTTTTTAAGTTGAGAGAATTCCATTTAGGAAATCTAGATGAAGTGCAAGAGGGGGTATATTTCCAAAGGTTGTAAATTGCACAACAGTTGCAGAGTCAATCTCTCAGGTGGCCAACTGCCTACTATGTCAGACAACACCAAATAAAGATTCAAATATGGAGTAAAAAAGCCCAAATAATCAAGTAGTCATAGGAATTACTAACTGATAAACTGAAAGTATATAACATAAGCACTTTCCTAATAATATTTTTAATAAGGTAAGGAAAACAATAAACTACAGGGTGTTTAGAAAATGCAGGAAAACTGCATCTGAAATAAAGGCTGTCTCATCAAACAATTAAACATGACACAGTACAGAATCAGTGATTGGGAAAAAACAGGATTTTGTGTTTCATCAAGCTACAATGACAGGAATGTGACTTAAATGGCACATATCTCATTAGCGAGATCTGAATGATGAAGGCTGTAGCAAAAATGGGCTTCAGAAATTCATATTCTGTGCACTCCAGTCCTGCTGACTGGATTGATTTTGAGCAAGTCATTTCCTTTACTTGTGCCTCAGTTTTATTTTTGCACAACAGGAATGTGCAGTTGCCGCAGAATGATTGAAACTTTTAATGTTTCCATAGCACTGCCCTGCGAGAATGATAACTGTCGATCACTTCAATAGGAGAGCTGAGTAGTTAATGCATTTAGTGTGTTTTCTGTCAAACTACCATTTTTAAATAAGCTGTTTCATTATGAGCCAAATTCTGAAATTCTTTCTGAAACAGCTATTATTTTAGCTTGAGTAAGAGTTTTACTTATGTGAGATGCAAACTAAGTATGTTGAGAAGCGGCTTGCAAGTCTTTTGGATAACCATGTAAAATTTACCATTGTGAAATGCATGGTAAAAACTGTTGAGTATGAAATTGTGATAACTTGCATTGTGTATGCTTCATTAAAATCACATGAAGACCCTTCTTAAAAATAAGCAGTGCATGCTTGCTTAGTTAGGTATTTTTTAATTATTTTTTTCTTTTCCTCCTTTTTATTCTAATAAATAACTTCAATGGCAAAATACTTGTGGATATCAAGTCTATTCACAGTGCACTGAGAAGGTCGTTTTAGCTTAAGAGCCACCCTGGTAGTACAGCACTTGT